CAGTTCTTCCCAACCTGATTTATAAATTCAATGCAATCCCAGTAAAAAATTTCAGCAAGTTATTTTGTGGATGTTAACAAACAGATTCTTAAGTTTACTTGGAGAGGCAAGAGACCCAGAATAGCCAACACAATACTGAAGGAGAATGAAGTTAAAGGACTGGTGCTACCTGATTTCAAGAGTTACTATAAAGGTATAGTAATCAACACTGTGTGGTATTGGTGAAAGAATAGACAGATAGACCAATAGAACAGAATAGAGAGCCTAAAAGTAGTTCCATATAAATATAATCAAATTGATCTTTGAGAAATGAACAAAGTACAATGGAGCAAAAATAGTCTTTTCTACAAATGGTGCTTGAACAACTGGACATTTACATGCAAAAAAATGAATCTATACACAGACCTTACGCCCTTCACCAAAATTAGCTCAAAGTGGATAATAGACTTAAATGTAAAATGCAAAGCTGTAAAACTGGAAGAAGATAAGCTGGGAGAAAACTTAGATAACCTTGGTTATTTTGATGCTTTTTTAGATACAGCCCACAAAAGAAATAATTGATAAGCTAGACTTTGTTAAAATAAAGACTTTTGTTCTGTGAGAGACAATATCAAGAGCACAGACAAAGCACAGACAGAGAAAATATTTGTAAAAGACACACCTGACCAAAGGATAAAATATACAAAAAAAATCTTAAAACTCAACAATAAAAAAATAAGAACCTGATTTTAAAAATGAGCCAAAGGGGCCGGCCGAGTGGCTCAGTTGGTTAAGAGCTCACTCAAGAGTGTGAGCTCTGAGCAACAGGGTCGCCGGTTCAATTCCCGGCCTGAGCTGAGCTGCCGCTGAGCTGCCAACAGGTGGCAGGATGGCTCAGCTAAAAAATAAATAAAAATAAAAATGGGCCAAATAGAGACTTCACCAAAAATATAAAGGTAACTAAGCATATGAAAAGTAGCTCTACCTCATAGGTCATCAAGGAAATGCAAACTAAAGCAACAATAAGATACCATGACACACCTATTAGAATGGCCCAAGTCCTAAGCACTGACAACAACAAATGCTGACAAGGATGTAGAGCAACAATAACACTCATACATTGCTGATGGGAACCCAAAATGCACAGCCACTTTAGAAGACAGTTTGTCAGTTCCTCACAAAACTAAACGTACTCNAAAATGCACAGCCACTTTAGAAGACAGTTTGTCAGTTCCTCACAAAACTAAACGTACTCCACCCATATGATTCAGCAGTCATACTCCTTGGTGTTTACTCAAAGAGGTTGAAGATTCATGTCCACACGAAACCTGCACAAGGATCTTTATAGCAGCTTTATTAATAATTGCCGAAACTTGGAAGAAATCAAGATGTCTTTCAGTAGGTACATGGGTAAATAAATGTGGTACATCCAGACAAGGGAATATTATTCAACACTTAAAAGAAATAAGCTATCAAGCCATGAAAAGACATGGAAGAATCTTACGTGCATATTACTAAGTGAAAGAGCCAATCTAAAAAGGGTACACACTGAAATATTCCAACTATATGACACATTCTGGAAAAGGCAAAACTATGGAGACAAAAAGGATAAGTGGTTGCTGGGAGGTTGGGGTTTGTGGTGGGATTTGAATAATGAGGGATATATATCATTATACATATATCCATAGAAGGTACAACAGCAAGAGTGAACACTAGGGTAAACTATGAACTTTGGGTGATTATGATGTATCAATGTAAAAGGACAAAAAAAGTACCATTCAGGTGAGTGATGCTGACAATGGGGAAGGCTATGCAAGTGTGAGAGCAGGAGCGGCTTTGTACCTCCCTCTCAATTTTGATTTAAACCTAAAAGTGCTCTTAAAAATTAAAGTCTTTTTTAAAAGTTAAAAAATAATAAAAGGATAGGAAAAAGTATACAATGCAAACACTAATAAAAAGAAAGCTGGATTGGCTATATTGATATTAGACAAAGTAGACTGGGAAAAATTGCAAGGGATAAAGAAGACATTCCATAATTATAAAAGGGTGAATTCATCAAAAAGACAGGAACCTTAAATGTGTACACATCTAAAAACAATATGTGAAGCCGAAACCGATAGAACTGCAGGCAGAAATAGATCCATGATTACACGTGGAAACTTCAGCATTCAGTAACTCTCAGTAATCTGTAGAACAAATAGACTGTAAATTATTCAAATATGTAGACCTGAACACTGTCAACCAATTGACCTAATTGACATTTATAGAATAATCCCCCAAACAACAGCAGAAGACTGCATTTTTTCAAATGCCCATGGAGCATTCAGTAAGATCGACCATATCGTGGGCTGTCGTAGAAACCCTGCCAGATTTAAAAGAATGTTCTGTGTCTTTAACAGAAGTAAACTAGAAAACAATGACCAAANTAAACATTTTACATGGATCAACGGTAGATTAATCTTCACAGCAATCGTAGGAAGCAGTTGCCTTTATCATTCCTATATTCCAGATGGAGACGCTGAGACCCAGAAAGGTGGAGGAACTGGCCCTAGGTCACCCAGTTGGGAAGTGGCTCCGGAGTCAGTGCTCCATTGCATAACACTTTGAGAGGTCTTTCCTGTTTGATCATTATATAATTCTAGCTGATTCCAAATGCACCAATATTTAAAGTGTGTTGACCTAGAATAGCAGACTCCATTTGGGGGTGGGAGGTGGGGGAGACTGCAGGAGTGAGGAGGACTTTGCCCAGAGTTGTCACAAGGCAAATTTCCAAGCCGTACTGTGAGTGTTCTACTTTGCAGTGTTAAGCCCCTTTCCTGCCCACTCAGCAAACCGGAGGGCTCCTGCCATGAGCTCTAGCCAGCGGCGGGCTTCTTGGGCCCCTCCAGCAGGTTGGGGCAGGAGCACATTGCAGCACTGCATTCCAAAAATGACAAAAGCTTGTATCATACTGACCAGATGGTCTGAGCCCCCAGGTGGAGGAAAGTGACCGCTTGCCTGTTTGTGCTGTGGGAACAGTGCCAAGAGGAGATCTAGAATGTGAGTGATCCACAGCAAGAGTCTCATGATCTCACGGCCACTGGTCAACCTTTGTTTGTTTCACATTTTCATTGAGATATTTCACCTATTATAAATTTCACCATTTAAAGTATACAAGTCAGTGGTTTTTCATATATTTACAGAGTGCAGTTGTCATCATAATCAGTTTTACAACATTTGCTTCATCCCAGTACCTGTTAGCAATCACTGCCACCCCTCCCCCCTCTTGTCCTGGGCAACCTCTAATCTTCTGTCTATATAAATTTGCCTGTTCTAGAGATTTTATATAAATGGAATCATACATTATGTGGTCTTTTTGTGACTGGCTTCCTTCACCTAGCGTAATGTTTTTTGGGTCCATCATTGTTCTAACATGTATCAGTACTTCATTCCTTTTTATTAGCAAATAATCCATTGTATGGATATACCACATTTTGTTCATCCTTTCATCAACTGGTGGACATTTGAGTTGCTCCATTTGTTTGATTATGAATAATGGTGCTGTGAGCATTTGTGCCAGGTTTTTGTGGGGGTGTGTTTTCATTTCTCTTGAATATAAACCTAGGAGTGGAATTGCTGGGCCATAATGTCAACACTTTGTTTAAGAGTTTGGAAAACTGCCAGACTTTTCCAAACTGGCTGCCCTATTTTACATTCTTCCCCGTAATGAAAGAAGGTTCCTGTTTCTCCACATCCTCACCAGCACTTGTTATTGTCTGTCTTCACTTATACCCATCCTGGTGCGTTCAAGTGGTATCTCAATGTGGTTTTGATTTCTCTTTCCCTGTTGACTAATGCTGTTGATCATCATCTCATGTGCTTATTAGCCATTTGTATATCTTCTTTGGAGAAACACCTGTTCGTATCCTTTGCCCATTTATTAATTGAGTTTATTTTTTCATTGTGGAATTGTAAGAGTTCTTTAT